CCCCCAGGCCACACTGTCCTGTCTCAAAATCCACTTGAGCCCAGCTTATCCAGTGCTGTGCAGGCGTCCTGCCCCACCTCAAGCAGGTTTTCTAGACAGAATAGTGAATTAAAGAGAATGAGAGTTTTATGTCCCCAAAGACAAAATAATGTGCTGCTTTTTAGCTCTGCACTGGACAACCTAGTGCCCGCAGCCAAGGTTTGTCTTTTTGCATTGAGATGAAAAGGAGTCCAGGTGAGGACAAATTAGCTGGTCTCCAGTGGAGAAACTCCTCACTGTGTGGTGAGATGGTCTGGGGGTAGCAGCTCAGCCACAGGGAGCACCCTAACCCCCATTCTGTACCTGCTGTGGTGAGCAGAGCGGGGGACAGTGGGAGGGGCTCACTACAGGCTCATTAGCAGGCTGTTGTGCCTCTTGGCAAATGGGATGAAAATACTGACTCGCCAAAGGCAGAGCTTGAGGAAGATGATTCAAGGCTCCTGGCTATTGCTTGCACCCAATGGCTAATGACTTGTGAGCAGGAGAAAGAGGTCATTTCAAACAAATAAATGATGAGCTCTGATAAAAGAATGGTGAGCAGGACCCTAATCATGGGTTTACACAGGAGAGCTGTGACTAGGACAGTGGCGTCAGGATGGAGCAGCGGGGCACAATACATGTGGGCTAGGATCTTGCAGAGAGAGAAACTCAGCAGAAGGCAGTCCTGGGTGCAATTCCTTTATTATCATGCCCCCTGGCATGTGAAGCTGGGCTTGCAGCAAGGCCTGCTAAGGCGAGAGGCATGTTTACAACTGGAGCAGTTTCCCTATATGCTGGTTAAGGCATCTTTTCTGTTTCTAGAATATTGCGAGGCCCCATAGGGAAGTGCCAGCTGGTTTCAGGAGCTTATTAGGCCTCAGTGATGTTCAGCTGTCTGGATTGACTGGTGGCACGTGCACCAGGCATGGGAGGCAGGGCACAACAGGCAAAGGGAGTAACCAGGTGCAGCAGGGCTCTCCCAAGGCATGCAGATGATGGTGGGAAAACGGGGCTGGCGCATGTAATGTGTCGGCTTCCGGGAGGGGACCCAGGGCATCAGGGCATCAGGGCAGGCACCCTCTGGCTGTGAGCGGACACAGTGGCGTGCCTCATCCCCCTCACAGCGCACTGAGTGGGGGTGGTCTCAGAGTGGGGATTGATCTCTGAGGGTTGTACCTATAAAGAGAGGTGGCAGTGCCCTTTATCATGTACTCTAAAGCAGTGGCGTTCAAAGTGTGATTCTTGAGCCAGCAGCAGCAGCAGCAGCAGCAACACCTGTGGAACTTATTAGCAATTTGAATTATTGGCTCTGCCTCTCCTGATTAGAAAATCTGGGGACATGGGTGGCCACCTGTTTTGAGGAGCCCCAGGTGATTCTGAAGCTCACTCATGTTTGAGAACCCCTGGTGCAGGCACTTGAACCTCATGTCCTTGGTGGATGTGAGCACCACCCAGCAGCAATGTGAAAAGACCGGATTTTCTCTGTAGGGGGCCAAACTGCTTTCCCCTCCTCAGGCCCAGAGCGGCCAGTGAGTCCAGAGTATTTTCTAGGAAGGGCAAGGGGTGGATAGTGATGACAGCAACTGTTCCAATTTTCTGTCCCTCTGCCTGAAAACCTTGAATTGGGGTCCAGAGTGGCAGAGGGCAGGAGGGTCCTGGGGCACATCACAGGGGCCTATCTTATGCTCCAGGGCCATGCTGGGCCCCGCTGGATCTGAATGTCCGTGGCCACCCAGAGTGAGATCCCTGAGGCAGATGTCCCACAGTGTCTACCCTGGAGCCCCAGCAAAAGCAGTGCTCTATTCAGGGGAGAGGAAAAAAGAGAAAGAGGCAGGAGAGGAGGTCACATCAATACCACAGGATCCCCCTCCGTGCCCAGGGTGTCTCTGGGAGTGGGTGTGGCCTGAGGATTTCCCAAGCCCCCAAATGGGGCATGAGGGTCCACACCCCTGTGAAGGCTCTGAGAGCTGGGGGCAGTCCCTGTTCTCACTTTGGGGTCAGCATTGGCACCTGAGGTGCCATGGCCCCTCAGCCTGCTGCTTGAGCACCCCCACCAGGCCTGGCTGCCAGCCTGAAAAAAGCCAGGTTTCTGCACTGATGGTGCGTGTGCGGGGCAGCTGGTGCTGGGTGGAGACTTGGGATTCTGTTCACCTGGGAGGGGGTGCAGAGGGTGCTATTATGTGACATGCCCCCGAGTGACACTGTTCCTGAATGCCAGCCTGATGACAGCTCTTTACAGAGGTGGATGCTGTGGGATGCTAGGAGAGGGGCACCCAGGCCAACTTTCCTGCACCCCTCCTCTGGCTGGGGGTTGCAGGACAACAGCCATTACTCCTGACACTCCTAGCATGTCTCTTAATTTGGCTGAGCCTGAATTTCCTCACCTGTGAAATGGGGCAATGTGAGGCAATGTGTTTACCATGACTAACATATTCTGAGTGCCTAGCAGGCCCGCAGTGAGCACAAGGAATCCCTGGTTTACCCACCTCCCCTGTGGGTATGCCTGAGGAGCTGGGGTCAGGGTGCTGTTAGGCAGTGGGGTGGGGGAGCACAGACATTTTACCCCCTCGACAAGGCCAGGCTCCACTCCTGCCCCTCCCCTGACACATGTCAGGCAGGGGACTCAGGGATGTGCCGCTCTCTCTCCATGTCTGCCCTTGCGAGCTTAAGGGAGACACTGGTGTGTCCAGGATGAGATGTGCTAGCCATGGCTATATGCATCCAGCACCTGACACTTTTCCTCAGCTCTGGTGTGCAAGGCCTTTTGCCCACACAGGACTGACAGTGACTTTCCCTAGGCACATCCTTCTCTCTCTCCAAGGAACTCAAGACTGTGACAGCCCCCAAGCAGGGACATGGGAGGAACTGTCCTGGGCACCGCTCTGAACTCCGCCTCCGTGTGCTCCTAGGCAGAGCCTGTTTTGGACCTCTGCTTCCTCTCAGCCTGACTCATCTCCCAGGCTGTTGGCATGAACAAGGTCTTATTTCCAAGAAGCTTTAGGCTGTTCTGCCACTTTCTGCAGCTTGGACTGGCCCCTGCATCCCATGGTAGTCTTGTGGATAATGCCCAGGGCAGGAACCGAAGCTAATCCTGCCCCCAACCCAACACTTGGGGCCGAGTGGATGGGTCAGGCTTTCCTGGGCTGTGTATGGCCTATCACCGCTAGGGCAGATAGGGAAGGCCACAGCATCCCCAGTGCCTGGCAGGAAGACTCAGCTCCAGTCTTTCCCGTCTCCCTTTCTCAGCCTCCACTCTGTAAGACCTGACGAATGTGGAGTAATGGTCAGTTTTTGATTAACTGCACGAATCCCTGGAGGCTGGAGAATAGCAAAGATAATCATAAGTTACATCTTCTCTCTTGGCCATGGTGTGGTCTGGGCTTGCTGGGAAAGCTGGTCTTCCTTTTAATGAATTCACACTGGTAACCCCAGGGCCTTCTGGGCAGAAGTAAACCATCCCAGGCTCCAGACAGCCCTGGAGAATCCCCAATGGAGGAGGCAGTCTTCCCCCAGAGGCTGGCCTTCCCCGTGTCCATGTGGGTACTTCCTGCTCTAAGGATGTAGTTTCTGGACATTTCAGGGCTATGTCAGTGACAGCAGTGAGTGATCTTCAGCCACTCCTGTGTATGGGAAAGAGAATAGCCCTCCTGAAGGATCAGCCTGGGTCAGCAAGAGCTGTGCCCATCCTGCTGTGAACAGGATTGAATGGGGAGGGAGGCGAGAGCTCTCTCGGCCTCAGCATGGAAAGGTGCCACCCCTCCTGTAGGGGAAGTAAGCAGGTCCCCTGGGGGAAATGCAGGCCCTGGAAGGTATGGAAGCTGGGTCTGGGGTTCTTGTGTTATGAGCTGCCCCCTTGTAACGGCCATTGGGGGATTCCTATGGTTGTCTTTTTACTCATTATTCAGATAAGTGCCAGCATGTATGTTAGTTCTAAGACTTTCTTTCTGTTCCTAGTATTTGGGAAAATTCTTTCTAAAGATTCCTTGCCTAATTCAGTGATGCAAAAGAGAACTGGAGGAAGAGACTGTGTCCACTCTGAGATGAGCAGGAAAGGGAAGCAGAGTGGGGCTCCCTGGAAGCTACACAGTGGTGGCCATGAGGTCAAGGAGAGGGGGTTCTGGGGGAGGTGAGGCTCAGGCGGGTACTCCACTCTGAGCTTCCCCTTCTCAGTGACCTAACTTTGCAGGAGCTGTATTTTGTCCAGAAGGGGAGGAGTTTTATATCCACCAATATTAAGAGCTGAAGATTGTTTTAAAACCTGGCATTCCTAAAAACCAGGTCCCAGAACAGGAGGTCCCTGAGGGATATATTACTAGAGGCTGAGGCCTGGGGCTATGGTCTCCCAGCGAGATTTCTCCTGGGAAGGCCACAGGGCAGTACGGTGCTTGTGTCCTCATCTTGACCCCCAGTTCCTTCCTCCCTTCCCTGGAAGCTCCATCCAGCCTATGGTGGTCCCATCTCAGGTCTCCCTACCCCCAGGCCACACAGGAGAGAATGAGGCCAACAGGACAATGCTCCTCTTCCCGAGAGAGACAGTGTGGGGAGTGGACAGACCAAGGGGCCAGGTAGGTCTTCTAGGCAAGACCCAGCCCGACCTGCTTTTCTCTGAGGGAAGAGCAAGTTGAGGCTTTAAAGCACCAGTCGGGGAATCAAACACTGAATGCAGGGCTGGGAGGCCCCAGGCTTAGGAGCTGGGAGGGAGCAGAGAGCCCAGTTCTCTCCCTCCTGTGGTACACATGTGTCCTGTGCTTGGTGAGAGCCTCTGGCAGTCTTTTGGCAGGAACACCCCCCTGCCCAGGATCCAGCTGTGCAGGTTCAGAAATGGTGGGGTGGGGCAGGGACCCTGCGTGGGTGAGAGGAGCAGGCACTTGGTGGATTTGCAAAGGCAAGGCACAGAGGAGAGGAATCTGTGGCCCTGGTTGAGCTGGTACTAACTCTGCACGCTGGGCAGATGTGGGCACGTGTCCTTGCAAGGGGAGGTGGTTGACCGTTAGTAAAAATGCCGCTGGAGCCTCTGGTGCAAGCAGCAGGTGAGAACCATTCCGCAGATCTGCCAGGTGGAGAGAGCAGAGGAGCAAAGAGAGATCAGAACCCCCTGAAGCTGCTGGGCTGCAGGGCCCCAGAGCAGTGCTGCTCACACTGCTCTGACCCCCTGGGGCCTGAGATCCTGCATTTCTAACAGGCTCCCAGGTGGGGCTGGTGTGTGGTCGAAGCCACACTCTGAGTACCACTATCCAACTAAGCGTGTCTTCCACGCTTTCATGGGCACCTGGGAACCTCATAATACGGCAGGTTACAATTCCGCAGGCCTGGAGAGGGGCCTGAGAATCTGCATTCCTACCCAGCTCCCAGGCCATGCTGCTGGTCTGTGGTCCTAGGTATTCTCAAGAGGTGGCCTAATTTAATTCGATCCTGAGCAGTAACATTTCCACCTTCTCATCAGAGCTGTCTGAAGCAGTCCTTTTCTCCAGGAAAGAGTCTGCCTGCATTTGCTGCTTTCAGACTCCAGAGCCAAGCTAAGGTCCACTGTCGATACTCTGGCTGATACACAGAAATCCGTGCGGAAACCGAGACCCTGGGAAAGCACCTGGAGCTGTCTCCAGCTCATCCTGTAAATCAGCTCACATTGCAGCACCAAAGCCAGGTCCTAGGAATCCCGCCTGCTGGCGCCTCTGTCACTATCCACTAGCTGAACAGGAATCGGGTAGGTATCCAGCCCAAGGCAGGCACAGATTTGGGAACATCACCCCCCATCTCACTTTCCCCATTTCTAAAATGCAGAGGACCTTTATTCTCTCACCTTGCTCTTCACGAGTCCTCCCCTGCCTTCCTCCTCTTTCTCTCTTTTCCCCCACCCAAGGATGCACTGAGGACGAGGAGTACCATGACAGTCATCATGACCCTAACAGTGACAGCATGTCATTAGATGTCATTGGATCTCAACTCTGTCCACAGGAGAGGGGCTCTGGGAGAGGGCAGCTGTATGACTGTCCCATGGCATCAGGGGTGGAGGTGGGTCTCTCTAAGTGTGGGAAACGGTGCTCTGACTTTCCCCAACTTTTCCAATAGGTGCTACAGACCTGGCCTTGCTGGTGCAAATCTGGGTGCATATGGAGCTCTACCCAGTGGGAGGAGGACAGGCTGGCAGAGATGCATGTGGGCTGGTACCCACCTTGTCTTTTTTTTGCAAGGCTAGCTGAAGGGTAGCAGAGGAGCAGCCCGACTTCTTCCCCTCCTCCCTCCTCTCCATCCCACCCAATCTGGAGGACAGTGGGGAGCATGGACACTGCTTTCAGCTTTTCACTCTGTGCTGAGAGCCCCATAATCCCTCTTGGGGCCTCAGGGCCACCAGCTGATCGGCAGTTTAGGGAGGCTATGTGTCTTCCACCAGTTCTGAGCAGGTGGCTGGCACAGTGATCCACGTCATGTAGCATGCCCTCTTCACCTATCCCCACCTTACAGCTTGATGATTTTCCTGTGGAGTTATCTGGACCTTTCTTGTCTCCACTAATGGGGAGGCCAGAAGGGAGCTGTTGGCCCGGCACTGATTTGTGCTGTAAACTGTCTGCATCTCTCACTGGGAGAAGGCTGGAGGAGCTGGGCTCCCCCGCAGATACACTTTGCATGAGATGTGTGTTCCCAGGGTGCCTCTTGGGAGAGGCCACGGTACAGGTGGAGGGAGTGGGCCAGTCTCTCATCAGTGTGTGTCCATATATGCACACGTACACGTGCACACATGCATGCACACACACGCACACATTGTACCCTGAATCATGAAGGAGGGTAAAGGATGCCCTCATCAACACGTGTACACACGTGCATGCACACATGCACATACCCCAGCCCAAACCATGCAGAAGGTAAAGGATGCTGAACCATCAGAGCCCCGAGTAAGCATCAGCATCTCCCTCCTGACAGAGGACACTGGGAAACCAGAATGGATGGCTCCAAGCCGCCAGCAGGGGGTGAGCAGAGACAATGTGGGACAAGTTACCACAGGAGCTGGAGATGGCGGGTAGGATTGGCGGGCTGCTGGCCCAGCTTGCACAGTGCACGGTGCTCTCTTCTCGTGGCTGCCTGGGTAGCACTTGGCCACACATGGGACATTTTTAACAGGAAGGCCACCATGCATTCAGCTTTTTATGAGGTTTCCGAGTCAGCACCTGACTGTTGTCAGGGAGCATGAAGGAAGTGCCCAGGAGGTTCTGGGAAGTCATCTAAAATGATTGTTGGGTTTCCCTCTTAGTGACTTGCAGATCCTAATTTTGACCATCTTGTGAGTTTTCTGTGCCCCAAACCAGGTTTCCATCTTATGATGTGAGAATGTAAGGGTGGTGGTGGGCTAGGTTCTATTTAGGGCTGTACCAATGGGCTGTGTGATGTTGGGTACAGTTACATCCCTCTCTGAGCCTCAAATTCCCCTCCATCAACACGAAAGCCTCCAGTCTGTATACTGATCCAGGGCCTTCCCTGGTGAGAATCTTTAAAAACTAGAATGGCAGTGACCAGTGGCATAGCACCCTGCCTCTCCAGCATCCTGAGCCTCTGAGAGGCCTGGCAGTGGCTCCCTAGGACCCTTGGGATAAAGACCCCACTCTCCACCCGCCAACCAGGGCTTTGCACACACTGCTTCCTCACTCTGGCTCTTCTTCCCCTCCTGTTATTCCCTGTTGAGCTCCATAAGGACTGAATTATATTGACAAATCACCTCCTCCAGGAAGCCTTCCCTGACTTCCCAGTCTGATGAGGGTCTCTGATAGGCTCATGCTAACACAGTACCAAGGACTGCACTGTGACAGCCCATGAACTTGTCTGTCCTCTTTCCTAGAACAAAAGCTCTTTGGGAGAAGGGACTGTCCCCTGCCTATGGTGGAGCTATAGCACTGGGCACAGTGCCTGGCAGGCAGTGGACTCTGCTGCAAGTGGACACAGAGTGTGTGCCCCTCAGCCACCTCTGCAGACGCCTTGGGGGGAGGTTCCCAGGACACTGTGTGTAAAGAGGGCAGCAGGAAAAGAGAGCTGGGCCACTGTGACATTTTTAGTAAAACATTTCCCAGCCAGAATATTCTATAAATTAGCTGCTAAAGTTACGTCCAAGTGGAGTGCCTCCAGCGTCCACCCACAAGAGGAGAAGGTGGTACAGAGAAAAGACCTGTAAGTGGGGCTCCTGATGGCCCTGCCTGTGGCTGTGTGACCAGCAGGTGACTTTCCAGCAGGGCTTGGTATATGAATAACCTGGGCCCAGGGGTTCTCAACACCGAATACACATTTGAATCACCTGGGGAGCTTTAATAAATACCCAAGCACAAGCCTGAGCCCAGCCAGAGCCTATGCAGATGGGGCCTGAGCAATAGCATTTTATAAACCTGATTCTAACACACAGCCAGGGCTGACAGCACTGGCTCTTCCACGTGGATTGAGTCTATGATCTGGGGGTACCTCGGTCCCTCAGGACTCTGATAATGTGGTCCAGGTCTGAAACTGTCTCCAGTGTCGGGTGTTCTATGACTGAGGTGGGTGGAGTGGCCTGCAGGGCCCTGGCTGAAAGAACAGCAGCGCTCCCCAAATGCAGAACCTCCACGCTGAGGGGCCTCTGCCCAGCAACCCTGCAGCCCTCAACCTGCAGCTGCAGAGAGCTGAGTCACTCTGCAAGGACCACTGTTTAACAGTTCACCAACCTGTCTCCTCATATATTCCATTTACTGCTCCTGTTGTGTCCCCTGGAACCTCTCAGGAAAAGTCCCCTCCCTGCCCCACACAGCTGCTTTGGGCATTCCAAGATGGTGAGGATGCTGTCTCCCCCCCATCTCCTGTCCCCTCCCACACTTCCAGGCCCAATGTGCCCCTTGCCACGTTCTCTGCATCAGCTATACCTGGTACCATTGATGCAGCCTGGGCCTGGGGTGGTTTTAAACTTATCAGGCTGGTCCCAATGCACAGCTAAGGTTGAGGATCATTGCCTGGGAGGCTCTGTGGAGGTCTGGTCCCACCTGGAGGGTGGCCTGAACTGGCACCTCCTGCCCCATCTCTCCCTATGGTTTCTACTAGTGCAGTTCCCAGGCTGTGTCTTTGCAGGCACTGCCTATCATGCAACGTAGGCAGGGGCATTCACTCTGGGTTACAGGCTTAAAGGCAGAACACAACAAAGTTTAAAGGACTTTAGCTCTGTCCAGGGTTTTACTCTCCATTTCAACACATCTTTCCTACTCACTAAGCTCTTTTTTCAGTGCTGGCTCTGTCATGCAACAGACCAGCTAGCCCTGCAGAGCTGGCCAGTTATCAACACTGATTAGCATGCCTCCTGGGTCTCCATGTGGATCACTGAGGAAAACAGTAAAGAGACAGGGCTGAGGCTGAAGGCCACTTTTCACCAGGCTGACATTAATCCTCTTGTCTCCCTCTCACAGTGTGGCCACCCAGCCCACCATGATTTCTGCTAACCACGTTAAGTGCCTGGTCCACACATCTGCAAGGCAACAGGTGACTCATTGTCAATTGCCTGGCCGAAGTCAGGGTTTGTTACATTCATTGAATTTTCTTCTTAGTTTTCCGAGTGTTCATAAACAATCTGCTTTAACATTCTAGGATGTTGCAGGACATTAATCTCAAAATCAGTTGGTCACCGAAGTGGGAAACTTACCCCAAAGGATGACAGAGTGTTAGAACTTGAAGGGTCTGAGAGATTGGTAGACCCACCTTTTTTCAACTGTATCAGAGACTCCAAGTGTAGCTTAGAGCCACAGCAGGAGCGAGGTGAGGCTGTCACATAGACTTGCCCTGACCCCCCATCACAGCTCCACCTTCCCTGTGTCTCCCTGTGTGAGGCTTCCATTGATAAGAGGCTGCTTCTGCTTAAAAAGGGCTCAGAACTATCCAGTCTCTCCACTTTATAAATAAGGAAACCAATGGCTCAGAGAAGGAATGTGACTTCCCCCCAAAGTCACATAGCATGTGCTAGAGCTATGTTTAGAATCCAGGTCCTCTAACTCCCAAGTAAGATTTCTTCCAGTTCCCAGGGGCTGCGGGACAGAATGACAACACGTTGGGCTGATATCTCCTGAACCTCAGGGGTCTTTAGAATACCAGGGTGGGTGTATGGAGGAGGGAAGTCTCTGGTGTCTACTTTGGCTGAAAGACGTCTATGAGCCTGGGGAGAGGCCTGGGTTGCGCCTTGTCTTGAAGCTCCGCCCACCTGGAGGGCTTGGGCATTGCCAGCAGAGGGAGCTCTAACCTGAGTCTTGGCTGCTGTGGGGCTGGCTCAGTGGACTGCAGGGAAGAAAACCCAGCAATGGAGTCATTCTGGAGAGCCATGGAGAAACAGAAACATTCATAGTGGGGATTGTGAGTGGGGTGTAGGCATCATGGACCTGCAACGTACACTGCCTGGCAACTTGGCAGCCTTGATAGCAGACTTGTACAACAGGACTATCCCACTATCCCTTGATCTTAGGCTCAGGTCATTTGCAGCCTCACTCCCTGCCCTCAGCCTCACTGTCCTGTCTGCACCTTCTACAGGCTCTTAAGACCAAAGGGTCAGGAAGAAATGGAATGAGTGGCCCAGGCCTGCTCATAGTCCACTCAGAGAAGGCTCTCTCAACACCCGGAGTAACAGGTTTCTGGAAACCTCTGCTAAGCCAGGCACTGGAGCACAGAGAGGCCCTTCCCCAGTGCCCAGTGCAACTCCTCTGGGGTCCAGCATGTAGGATAGAAGCCTGCATTGGGGAAGTGCAAAAGTGGGGGTGCTAATGCAACCTGTGTCCCCGGCCCTGCAGTGAAAGAGGGTGAAGGAGAGAAGGATGCTTTAATCAGTGAAAGAGTGTGAGATCTTTTTGAGAGACAACGTGCCCACAGAGAAATGACAAAAATGATGAATCTTTTACGGAACACAAGCTATCTACTCAGCAATGACTGAAGGGATTTGCATGTATATTGCTAATTTTCACAGCCACCAAATGAAGTATAATTAGCCCCATTTTACAAATGAGTAACCGAGGCTCAGAGACGAAATCACTGGCCCTAGGTCACACAGTTTGTAAGTGGCAAAACAAAGATGGGTATCCCTCCAGAGGCTAGGGAGCCGCTTCCCAGTGTACCAGGCTGCATCTGGGAATCCAGACCCACAGACGCCGTGGGGCGGCAGCATGGGGATCTGAAAGGACCCCATCTCCAAACCGGCCACCATCCCTGCTTCTCTTTCCCACAGATCTTTCCACCAGGGTAGGAAGCCAAGTCTGGGAAAACAAAGGCCCAAAGCCAGGAGACCTAGGAACCACATCAGGGTATTAGGCAAGTGGCCTGTCTGGTTCTCACCCTTCTGATCCATAGAATGGGAGAGCACTACTCTCTGCCCGGCGGGCTCAGGTTGTTGTGGAGACCAATGAGAGGAAGCAGCTGAAATTCCTCTGAAGACCATAGAGAGCGGGATAAAGACAGCTTCCCCTCAGGGAGGCCCTCCCGCGTCCCAGGCACCACAGGCGGGTCACCTCATTCTTGCTCTTGTCTAGTCTAGGAAAATCAGGTCAACTTAAGGAGATGGTCAGTGTAGGGAAGGGTCAATTATGGGTTCTGCTGTAGTTGTTATGCTGTATTGTATAGGGAGTAATGATTAAAAAATGTCTGGTTATGTTCAGTACAGATGCAATCATTTTCTATTTTCCCTAATATTTTTGATCCATGATTGGCTAAATGATGAAATACATACACACACCAAGGGATGGGTGCGGATACATGCACACACACATGCACGAGCACCCCTAAACATATGTTGCATAGCCCCAACCAGACACTCTGGACCCACACACACATATAGGTTCATGCTCATACCTAAGCCCACATTCATACTCCTCCCAGGTCCCTGCTCCTTACAAGTTCAAGTTGTCCCTAAGGCATTTTCCTTCACGTCCTAGGGAAGAGACTGACCATGGAATTCAGCCTTGGTTGCAAAGGGAAGAAGAGAGCAGGGCAGTAGTGAGCAGAGGGCTGGTTATTTCAGCTGGGACAGTTGTGAGTCTCTGCCAATGAGAGAGCGGTTCTGAACTCTTCCCACAACCTTCTCTCTGGATGCCCCCATTCCACTCACCTGCAGGCAGGCCACTCCAATGCCCACTGCCCCCATGAGCAACAGGTGGTCAGCCAGGAACTGCTCTAGCTTGGTGATGCAGCCTCCCTGCAAGAGAACCGTGGGTTAGATGGCCAGGAGTGGGTGTGGACTGGGCAAGACAGGCCGTCATGCTGCATCCAGCCTGGGCCAGCCTTTGAATTTCTCACAGGCTTCTTGTGTGGCCCCAGGGGGGGCATGTCCTAGAATCTCCCAGTAGGAGCTGCTTGTCCCCAGGGCTTTGTAGAGACCCCGGAAGGCCCCAGGCACTGTGGTCCCATGGTCAAGGAATAAATGTGTTCTGCTCTTCCCAGTCCCATCTGCCTGACCCAGCCTTTCCAGGGCCTCCTGAACCTCCAGGCGGGCCCTCTTCTTATCCCCAGCTTGAGGTCAGGTGCTCACCTCCACCTTGTAGATGTTGGAGGGGTGGGCCCGCTGCCCACAGCGTGCCACCACCGTCTTGCAGCAGCTGTCGGGCACCCGGCGGCCCTCGGCCTCCCTTGACAGGATGTACATGCTGTGCTGCCAGTCGGCTGAGCTGTTGCTTCCACAGCACTTGAACTGGAGGGAGAGGCAGAGGCTGGAGGTGAGAGGAGCCCGTGGGGGCTCTTCTGTCCCTGGGTTACAGAGCCACAGGACACTGCACTCAAATACTAACCCAAACCCTATCTGTTCCCCTTGCAACATTCCCCTTCCCTTGCTGTGAGCAGGGAGCAGGTCCCTCTGGGCCCCTCCCCTCAGGCCTGGTGCAGTTGCCCGCAGGACACCTGTGTGCTGCCTTTTGTAGTCACCTGCTTTACAGAGGTTATGCTGATGTCCTGGGGGCAGGACAGGTCAGTGAGGTAGGCAGGAAGATGGATGCAGCCTGGTCCCCAGAGAATCGGGCTTGTATCCCAAGGTGGCAAAATCCAGGGCAAAACCACAAGTGGGGGAGGAAGGGTTCCTGGTGATGCAGGAGGCAGAACATGGGGACAGGGACTCAGCCTTGCCAGAAGCTCCAGGCCCCAGAGCCCACAGTGTGAGCAGACCAGTGAGGGTAGCTTATTGCCCTCTGAGTCAGCACCCTGAGATTCAAAGTCCCTTCACAGGCCAGAGAACACTGCAGCCTTGGGACTCTCTGGTGTGTGTGGGTGGAAGGTGAGACATATTTACGTCCGCTAACAAGTGGTTGTTAGGCACCTACTGTGTGCCAGGAGTGAGCCAACATGAGTAGGGTCCTGCCCTTCAGCAGCCGTTTAGCAGGAGAGATGCTAGAAGTGTGTGTGTTGCACAGAGGAGGGAGAGGTTAATGCTCTGCCAGGGCCAGGAAGGACCCACCAGGACAAACAGTGTACTCAGGAGTCGAGGTGGAATGTGAGAGTGTGCACAGAGCAGGGGCCAGCTCGGCATGTGCCAGCAGTCACGTGGGAACTGTGTGTCTCTGGCCGCACGTGCTGGTGCTGCACGGCTGCTGTGCCAATTGTACAATTGGGACGACAAAAGTCCCTGCACACTGGGCTGTTGTGAGGACTTAAAGAGGTGAGTCACCTGCAACACTAGGATGAGAGGCTGGCAGGGACTCAGCAGTGACCAAGAGATACCTACTGCGTGATCAGAATTGTGTGAGTATAGGCATCTGGAGCATTTAAAGATGCCTGGTGCCTTCCTGGGGCTCAGTCTCCTACGTGAGATTGAGGCTGGGGTTCTAAGTTGAAGCCCACACGAGGCCCGTGTCCCTGGGCCCTGACGCCCACGCAGGTGTTGGTCAGCGACATGTCTTCGCCCTTAGCTGTGCCTCTCCTGATACCTCCCCTGACCCTGACCCACCTAAGCAAACTTTGCCCCTGCCCCATGGAGCCCTACCCAGCCCCCCTGCTTTGTCCTTGGAGGGTACACCCAGCCTAGCACTGGGCAAATGTGTTTAGCTTCCTGAGTAAGCCCCGGGGCAGGGATTCTGCCCTGTTTTTTGTCTCACGTAGTTCTTCACGGTGTGGCCCAGTGGGTACACCCTTAGTTTTGCACAGGTGTGTTGCCCCATCCTGGCCTTGGGTGAAGCCTGGGGCGTGTGGGTGTGCCTCTGGGCATGCGCGAGTGCCCCTGGCCACTATTTCTGAGAACAGACCACTCCGTGAAATGCAGACAGGACCTGAGCCTGGGTCCTGGGGAGGTAGGGAGGGCCTGCCCCCTGGAACCAGGATGTCCTGGAACTGAGGGCTCACCACCTCTACCCCTTCTACTTGCCTGACTGTCCTGGATCCAAGGCCAAGACTCAGGCTAGGGTGGGAGTCCAGAGAGGAAGGAGACCAGAGTGAGCAGAGCTACTTCCTGTTTCCCCACACAGAGCCAGCGGGATCCTGGAGCAGAGCTGTCTAGTGGGACTTAGAGATGAAGGAAGTCCGGTATCTGTGCTGTCCCAATTTGGTGCTTACTAGCCACACGTGGCTACTAAATGTGGCTGGTGTGACTAAGGGACCGAATTTTGTGTTTAACTATAAATAGCAGCATGTAGACAGCACAGCTCTCAGATCTGTCTGTCCCCTACATCTGGCCGGGATGGTGGGCCTCACTGGAGGGATCTGCTGCATCACTTTGGGGACAGGTGACCACTTTCCTGACCCCCACCCCAAGCATTCTGCTGGAGGGCTCCCAACTGGGATGTTCTTATGCCTCTTAACTGGAATCTCTGCCTGTCACAGCTCACTCTTGTGCAGCCTCAGACTCCAGCTCCCTGAAGAAAGGGGAGTAACAGCCCAGAGAGGAGCTTCCTTGCCCAGACCCTGGCAGGAGACAGAGTTCTTCTGGTGCCAGCTTCCTGCCCGCAGAGGACCCAGGACAGGAAGGCAGCAGGAGCGGGGTTTGGAGGAGATGTTTGTTAGGTGTGTGTGGGGGGTGGGGAGGTGGCAGAGGAAAGGAACTAGGATGTGGTAGGCATTGTTTGTGGTGACTGGGGACTTCTGCAGATGTGACTGTGTTTAATGCTCACTCACCGTAAAGAGGCTTAATTTCAGGCACAGGGCAGCTAAAGCTCAGAGAGGCTAAGTAACTTGTGTAGTGTTGCGCAGACAGGGAACAGCAGAGTCAGGATGTGAGCTTATGTCTGCTTGGCCCTCAAGCCTACGGGGTGTGGCTTACGTCCTGCTGGAGACGGTCCACCGAGGCGGTGATCTCCGTGGCCCCAGGCTGCCCATAGTTCTCCGACAGAGTCTGGTTCAAGTGCTGCTTCAGTTCGTCGCTCAGCTGAGGAGGGTGGGAGTAGAGGAGGCATCAGCAGGACCCTGGGGCCCGATCCTGGCACCCAGGCCTGCCCCAATGCCTGCCCCCAGCTAACTCTAGAACTCCACTGGCTGCAGGTGGCATGATAGGGGAAGTTTGTCAACAGAGTCCTGGGCCTGTCAGTGGAGACAGGGTAGAAGACGTTTGTGGGGAGTATATTACAAAGACTGGGGCCAGAGGGGCTGTGGGCAGAGCTGCGTGTGGCTGGGGAGATGGCTCAGGGAAAGTGTCACAGCTGCAAACTAGTGGGTGGCAACAGCGAGGCCAGACGCAGGGCTGCTTTGAAATGTCTGTTCATTTTAATTTTGATTATGAGGTGATATTCAAAATATTTACAATTGTTACCTTGTGGACAAGGTAACAAGCGCTGGCTGGAAACGACCAGAGGGGCTATACTGTCTTATCACCCTGGTCATCACCTCAAATCCCCAGTCTGAGGGCACCAGGGTGGGAGCAGACAGGACAGGATGGGGCACTTCATCCTTGTTCAACCCAGGCATGCAAAGTCTGGGCCTGTCTTTATAATAGGGCCTTGAAACCTGGCCCAGGCCTTTCTCCTCAGATGACTTTGTCAGATGGATTTATTCTCTAGTCCAGACCATCCTCAGAAGGGGAGAGGGATGACCCAACCTCCCATGGGAAGCTCTCCTCCCCAGCTCCCATGTGGAAGACATCAGCATCAACAGATGTAGCAGAGGGCTGCTGGAGCAGGGACAAGAAGCCGGGAGCCAGATGTGGGAGGACTGCTGGGGCCTGGGAAAGAGGACCACCCCTGTGCACCTGCCTCGGCTTCCCCATTGCAATGCAACCCCACCCGTTCCCATTGTTTCTATGGGGCTCCATAGAGAATGTAGGGGAGGAAGCATCCACTCACCCTCTGGTAATATACGTGGGCCAGGATTCCTGCCACCAGCTCAACCAGGAAGATGACAAGCAACAGGCAGAAATACTAGGAGCAAGGAGAGAGGAGGTCACCGTAGGGATCTGGGCACTCCTATGACAAACATTCCCCTGGAATGGTGGTGGGGGGGTGGAGACACCTGCCAGGACCCTTTCACCCATCTCAGTTTCCTCTTCTTGCCAGCAGCTCTGGATCAGCCCTGCTGCTGCTGGTGCCGAGTTCCCCCACTCTCCCCTTCCCCTGTTAGTCTGCTGGCAATTCAGGAATCCATCCACCCACCCAGTGTGTAGTAAATACCTACTTCATGTCAGATGCCAGCGAGCATGACTGTGCCCTGTCTTCTTCCAGCATTAGGGATACAGGGAGAGTGTCCAGTCTTGGAACAATGGTGCCAGGCCTGACCCCATCAATGGTGGGGCCTGGGGCAAAGAGTACAAGTGAGGTCCCTGCCCCTCCTTTCTACCCCAGGCTGGGTGCCACACCAGGGAAGGCCCGACCTACATGTCCCAGTCTGTCCACCCTTCCTGAAGAATCAGAGGCATTTGGCTGAGGAGCGGAGTGGGCTGAGTGTGATCCCACATGGGTGCAGGCTAGGGGTGCACATCCCAGGGGTTCCCTCAGCTGCAGGACACCCACCTATGTGCTAAGTATCTAACATACTCAATACTACTATGAAATCAATATATAACCACTTACACACTCATACGAATGGCAAAACGTAACTATGGTCCAGAAATTAGAAGGGAAGAGGAGAGGGGAGGGGAGATATGGGAGGAGGGAGGGTATTTGGGGGACCTCACCTCATGTGCATGATGCAATGGTACATTTCAAAACTATTAAGAAATGAGTATAATTGTGATGGATGTGTTACTTAGTTCAATGTAAACATTTCATATTGTATATCAAAGCAGTACCCTGAACCCCATAAATGCATCAAATCACAAAGTTATGATTTAATAAAAAATAATTAATTAAAAAAAATCTGGATGATAAAACTGTTGTAGATTGGCCAGGCACAGTGGCTCACACCTGTAATCCTAATACTCTGGGAGGCCGAGGCAGGTGGATTGCTTGAGCTCACAAGTTCGAGACCAGCCTGAGCAAAAGCGAGATCCCCATCTCTACTAAAAATAGAAAAAGCTGAGGCAAGAGGATCACTTGAGCCTGAGTTGGAGGTTGCTGTGAGCTATGATGCCATGGCACTCTACCCAGGGTGACAGCTTGAGACTCTGTCTCAAAATCAATCAATCAATCAATCAATCAATCAATAAACTTGTAGATCTTGGAAAAAAGAAGAAGAAGAAGAAGAAGAACTACTAGTACCTGGAGGGTAGCGGCCAAGGGTGCTGCTAAGTGCCCTACAGTGCTTAGGGCATGCCCTGGCCTAAAATGCCCCCAGTGCCATGGCTGAGAAACCCCAGGTGACCAAATACCTCCAGGTTTTTGGGCTGTTGCTCAGACTTGATGTATTATGGGAGCCACGTAACAGAAGAGCTGAGAAATATTAACTACTTCTGAGGAGCCAGAAACTAAATACGGATGCAGCACAGGCAGGGTTTTACCCCACATCTGCCTGGGAGGGTGCCTCCGTGGCAGGAGGGTGCCTGCTGACATCAGGAAGGATCAGGGACGCCTGTGTGGACTGCTTCAGCTCACAGCCTCTTGGGGCCTGGAGGGGACTCCCATGGGCCCATGTGCATCCCAAAAGCTCTGAATGGTTCCCTGGGGGCTGTATGTTTTGTGAAGCAAATATACATTCCTCCAGGTACCCTGGAAGGGTGTGGTGCCATAAGAGTTGTGTAAGAGATTGACTCTAAGAAGTGCAAGAAAGGTCCTGGAACCTTCTTTAAGTTTGGTTTGGTATTGTTCTTGAATTATTAAGAAAAAGTCAATAAGAAATTCACAGATAACCTGTGTCATGTGTAGGAGTGCTATGTCAGTATAAGTATCGACTGGGTCCACGCTGTCCACCACCAGAGCCCATCACTCTGAAGGTGACACCAGAATCACTGGCCTGTGGCTTAGGAGGCAATATTCAACCTGTGGGCTTTGGAGATGCGGCCTTGCTTCTCCAAACCCAGGAGAAGGGAAAGAAGGCCTGTGGTATTTCTACAGTGTGAATAGTAGAAAGGAATCTTTTGCACCAAAAGAAAAATAACCCTTCCTTGGCAGGCCCAGGGTCTCATTTATTTGAGATGCCCAGGAGTGCCAAGCATGGCCTTGCACCCAGTGGGTGCTCTATTTACAAGCTCTCCCAGGGGCCAGCCCCTCTTGTGGCACTCTGCGTGATGTCCCCTACCCCGGCCACCTCGGAGATGTGTATTAGCATTACACACCATGGTGCCACGTGGGCATTAGCGTCAGCCTCGCTTTATAGGCGAACATGTGTGCTTAGAGAGCTAAGTAGCTTGCCGCAGGCCACACAGCAAGTCCATGGCTGAGCAAGGGCTGGAGTCCAGGAATTCCAGCTACAGAAGCTGTGCTGGGACCTGCTGCATGGTACTGTCCCCACACAGTGGACGGGCACTTGGATGAGCTCACTGGGCTCACTCAGGGTGGATTCAGCAGGGTGGGAAGGTACGGTTCAGGTAGCCACAGGGGGTCTGATGCTCCTCAGAGGACAGAGATAAGGATGAGAGGGTGAAGATGGAGAGAACAAAGGGAAGTCATCCCTGGGTACAATGTCCCTTGCTTAGTCCCCTGCCAGCTGCTGTCAGCCAGCAGGGCAGGTCAGCGTGCTCCAGATCCTCCCCTGGGCACTGCCCTCCTCTTTTCCAGCAGTGGGGCATAAGCCTCTTCTGCCTGTTCCTCCCAGGTCTTCACCCTGTGGCTTGTGCTGGGTTCATGGCCATGGGCTCTGGTGCCTGTTTCTGCTCCTCTGCTCTTGACTTTACTCAGTTGAACCTACCCTTTCCTATAGGAAACACGGGTGTGTACACCAGAGCCTGCACACAGCAGCAGCGCCTCTGGCCTCTGTGCTTTTGGTCTCACTCTTCCCCCTGCCTAGTCGCTGCCCCAGCCCCATCTGTGTTCTGTTTATTGGCTACTTGGCCACTCAGACTCGGCTGAGGAATGGCCCCCACAAAGCCCTCCTTGGGCCAGAAATTTCCAGACTACAAGGTCATCACTAGCGTCCTTATTTCTGAACTTCCCTCTGACTCCGCGGCCTCGCTACTTGTCTCACTCCTGGGAATATGTACATTTGACCCCTGCCCACCTCCTGGCTCTGACCCATAGCTTGTTCTGCCTTCACAGTCCCTGTGCATCGCGGTATGAACCGGACCTGCTCACTGGCCTCCACCCCAACCTCTGGCTCCCTCTGACTTATGTGACTGGCTTTTGCCCTGCTGCCCTGGGCTCTCTGGTCCTTCCAAAAGTCACCACCTATGTCTGAGTCTGATAGGGACGGGGAATGAGAATTCCAAAGAAAGCTCTGTAGCATCCACCCCCAGAACCCTCCATAAGAACCATCCTATTTCAAAATATGCCAAACTAGACCCAAAAGGTAGAAGGAAATCAGTGTGTTAGGCATGGACCGGGACTAAACATTAATCTTCCCTCCTGTACCAGAGGGTTTTATTTTATCCTCATTAATTTTTTAATGGGACAGTTTGAACTAGAAGCAAAGTTAGGTAACTTTCTAAAACTGTAGATCAAAACTGAAGCTGGAAGGGCACAGTACTCTCTGAACCAAGCCGATACTTTTTATAATAGAGGCTCTGCAGGAGATATGCAGAAATATTTCTCACTGTGACATTAAGGTGATTAATTAGAATGTGAGTCTTCAGATGGACTTACACTGCATGGGGCAGATAGAGTTTCTGGGGCAAATTCAACGGTGTTAAGAGACAGGGCAGCTCAGTACAGACTGGTGCCATCTTTGAGCCCAGTCTGAAGAACTGTATAAAATTGGAATTTCAGAATTTCTCCATTGGAGTGATCCTGCCACAGAGAAGGGAGCTTTGCTGAAACATTCCTCTTCTGCACCCCATCATCCTGCATGATTGGAGACAGGAGGGGTTCATGAAGCTTCCTGCCAGGCCACAGTCTGACGGTTGAGGCTTGGTGTCCAGGCAGGTTGGGATGAGGGTGGTGGCAACAGTGAAAGAGGAAGATCTAGATGCACAGCCAGGGTTAAGTTACAGGGAGAGGAGCACCGCCTGAGGTTCCCAGCTGTCTGTGTGCGCGATTACAGGGGCAGGCAGGGGGAGGGCCAGGGACTGGCCAAATAGGAAAAGATGAAGCCAGCTGTTTAAGCAGCAGTGACCTCAGGGCGAATTATTTTCTGGCAGTTAACTATCGGCTGGAGGCAGTCAGTTCAGGGGTGCAGCTGCCCAGCCTGTTTGTGCGGAAGAGAGAGGATGTGGATTTGGGAGCTTCTAGCCATTCCTGTAACAAGATGTCATTGTTGGAAGGACAAAGGTGACCTCTACCCCTCCTGGCTCCAGCCCAGGGCTCACAGCCTGGGCTGTCCATCTGCAGCCATGCCGATGCTGGGATGTGGCCATTCCACCTGGAATAAAGTGAGGACGTAGGGATGTGCCAGGCCAATGTCTGATACTAACATTCGGTTCTGGCCCAAGGGGCTGGGAGCAGACAAGGGAGCCAGGGCTGGAGCGAGGAGAGCTGGTGGATTGGGTGAGGGCAAGTTGGAAGAGGCAGGGAGGAAGCAAACTGGGCCACAGGGAGTATTCTAAGGCACATCATGAAAATGCAGCTGAGGCCATCAAAGTCCCAGCTGACATGCTGGGGTGCGAGAGGATCATATTGTGTGTGCATGTGTGTGTTATGTGTCGGGAAGGAGGGCATGGAAGCAGAACACAGTTCCAGAACTATAAGCTAAAGACAGTGCCCACTAGGTTTCAAGCTGGGACCACCAAAAATTCAGTCTGAATGGGCTATGTGAGGGCAAGACCCAGAGCGGGCAGCAGAGAATAAAGCCCCGAGGGGGACTCAAAGGATGCTGCTGCCTGAGGGCCCCAGGCATGGGGAGACGACCAGTTGCTGCTCCCTGGAAGGACCTAGACGTTCCTGTTGGCTGTCCTCTC